TGTTATCACCGNTTTCTGTTTGCAATTGTGATGGATGCTGTGTGTGGAAACATAATGGAGGGGTTGTTATTTGAGATTTTGTATGCAGATAATTTATGGCTTGATGGCTGTTAGCATGGAAGAATCGCTGTTAAAATTTGACAGATGGAAAAGTGTTCTCGAAAAGAAAGGGTTAAAAGTTAATATTGGTAAGACGAAGGTATTGGTGAGTGGGGAAGGTAGGGAGCGAGTGATAAGTAAAATAGACCCCTGTGGGGTATGTGACAGGAGAGTGAAGGCTAACTCGGTATTGTGTATAGGATGTCAGAAGTGGGTGCATAAGAGATGTAGTGGTGTGAGGGGGCACTGAAAAAGGTGGAAGGCACGTTCAAATGTAAGAAATTAAGAAATGTGTTCATGGTGTGATTAATAGGACGGACGCAAAGACGGGGTTGAGTGGTGGTATTGAAAGAGTGGAAAGCTTTGTTTACTTAGGGGATAAGCTGAACGCGAATGGAAGATGTTTGAGCTCTGTTACGGCTAGAGTTCGTGTAGGATGGATGAAATTTAGGGAACTGGGTGGGGTGTTGTGTTGAAAGAAATGGTCAGTGAAGATGAAAGGGAGGGTATATAAAGCATGTGTGAGAGCAGCGATGGTATATGGTGGTGAAACTTGGGTGTTGAGGAGAGAGGAGGAAAGTGTACTACAGAGGGCTAAAAGAGCTATGGTGAGGATGATGTGTGGGGTTAAAGTGAAGGATAGGAGGAATAGTACAGAGCTGATTTCGATGATGGGACTGAATGAGAACATTGTGACATTGATAAGGAGATCAAGATTGCGGTGGTATGGACATTTGTTGAGAAGGGGTGAAAAGGTCAGGATTAGGCGAGCGTTGGTGTTCGAGGTTGAAGGAGTGATAGGAAGGGGTCGTCCGCGATTGGGATGGAGAGAGCAGGTGGAGAAGGACAGAGTTAAAGCGAGGTTGCGTGATAATGAGGCGAGTGACAGATGTGAATGGCGTCGAGGGTATTTCGGTTTCATCATAGGTAGCCAAACGGCAACCCCGATCTCGGGGAAAATGTCGTCTTAACGTGTGTTATGTTGTTGTAAATTTTGCTTTTCAGCTTTCACGTTTTGATTCTTAGAGGCATTTGTTTAGACTTATGTTTTGACAGTTTGACAACTAGGTCTGCCACAAGGAGTCTATGTTGAGCGACACTTGATTCGCCAGGTATAACTTTGAAATTTTTGAATAACCTTCGGTGTTGTTGCTTGACTGTGAAGAAATCAATTTGCGTTGCTGATGGTCCACTTTTGTATGTTATTAGATGTCCCAATCTCTTTTTAAAATATGTATTCAGTGAACAAAACCCGTTACTTTGAGCAAACTCAGGGATGCGGTTGCCATCTTCATTCCGTTCTCCATAGCCAAAACCGCCATGCACGTTGTCAAAACTATCTGTTTTCTTTCCAACGGGACCATTGGGATTGCCTACAATCAGGATTGTTTCAGATTTCGGTATTGTTGTAATGGTTTCAGAGAACGCAGCCCAAAAGTCATTTTTCATCTCTTCTGATTTGCCTGTCTGTGGTGCGTATGCAGAAAAAATAGTCATTGTTTGCTTTTCTTAGCGAATCTTAATCCATATGAGACGTGAGTTAATCCTTTTAATATCCAATACTTCTTGGGCTAGCGATTCTTTGACAAAAGTTCCAACACCATTTTTGGCCGTCTTTTGACCATTCCAGAATAGCTTATATTTTTATTTGTCTGAATTGATATGACAGACACCATTCGATTTCCATCGGGTCTCCTGAAGGCAGCAGATGTCAATCCTTTTACGCTCGATCATTTCTGCGATTTCCATGCTGCGGCAAGTCAGTGATCCAACATTGAGCGTTCCAAGTCTAAGTACCATAAGGGATCATTCTGAATTTTTCTGCAATACCCCTCCGCTATTGCATACTTCCCAGAGATTCTTAGCACCCCTTGACCACTTAAGGCCTGCTGGGGACTAGGATTTTTTTTGTGAACTGTTGAATTTTTTTGTGATGGCATGGAATAAATTTTGGAAAAACTTTTTACATCCGGATACCCATCAAGACGACAACCACCAGTTATAAGCGGTGGCCTAGCCTTTTGCTCAAAAGCACGCAAGGCAGCGTGGATGCGGTTTTATGTCATGCCCAGGACTATTGCTGGACTAATTCTAACTGATAAACGCTGTAGATTGTCTGATGATCATACCAATAAAATGATTTTTTGAGAGATCATCTTAAACACGCATTTTAAAAGAACATTTATTAAAAAAATATATATATATATGTTGGTTAATAAATTTTCAAAAATTTTTTAGAAGGGTTTTTTTAATAATAATTAAAAATAGTTAAAAAGTAGTTAACTATTATGAAGTAGTTAGTAACTACTTTTCTTGAAAGTAGTTGCTATGTTTTTAGTCAAGTAGTTAACTACAGTAGTTCACTATTTTTTTTGGAGTAGTTAACCCATCACTGCTAAAGGGTCATGCATTATAACGGGAAATTTAAACTATCATATAGATTGGAATCAGAAGCATAGAAAAAAGTTACAGACAACCTGTCCTTGAGATGCCCTAACAAAATAAGAAACCAAATCAGAGGAAAGAAGTTAACACAGATATGCGCAAAAGTTACAGCTTATGGGAACAAAAAGTGCGAGTCAGCTGGAGGAATTTAAAAAAAACATTATGTGGAAAAGATGAACTTGGAAAAGAAAATGAACAGATAGGCGATAAAGGACTACAAGGTAAAGCTGAGTCAAAACAAAAAAAAAACCGTAAAAGCTTTTAAAGTTATATGAAAAGCAAACAAAAAAAACCCGAAGGTTGGACCACTTAAAAGACAATCAAGGCAATACTGTCACAGATAATGAAAAACTGCGGAAATAATCAACAACTACTTTGAATTAGTACTGACGCAAAAAGATATGGAACGCATCTCAGAGCCTGAGATACTGTTTAAAGGAAAACAATAATAGATACTCAAAAGCATAGATGTTACCAGCAACTATAGACCAGTCAGTTTAACATGTATACTATGCAAAATTCTAGATAAAATAGTGAAAATGAACATGGTTGAACATCTGATGAATGACAAAATAACCGAAAACAGTCAAACACGGATTTATGAAAGGACGTTCCTATTTCTCAAAACTTTTGGATTTTTTGAGGAAGTGTATACAAACGTAGACAGTGAAAACTCCGTATATATGATTTGGATTTTGCGGAAGCGTTTGAGAAAGTGCCAAAAAACGACTTACCAAGAAGCTACATGCACGTGGAACCAACTGGCTGAAGAACAGAAGACAACAAGTATGGATCATCAAAGACAAAAATTTACCTTGAGTTAACGTCACAAGTGAATTCCTCAAAGTTTGCCGGCAACACGAAGCTGTGTGGAAAGATCAATAATGAGGAATATGCGGAAGTACTAAGACAAGATATGGCAAGATTATACAAATGGCCTGAGGATAAGCAAATGTCGTTTCATATAGATAAATGTGCAAAACAATGACAGTTTTCAAAACTGTATATTATTCTAATTTTAATAAAATTAATAATGACGACAAAAATTTGGTTATTTGGTAAGAAATATTAAGAAATTCAATAAAAATCTATCAAACGCTAGAAATTCGGTAGATTTCGTAAGAATGATTCGGAAACCAAAAAAAGAAAATTATTTTTTTTAAGCTCGGCCACCGTGTAACATAATATAACTTTTCAATGTTCTGATAAACAAGAATTGTTAAAAAATTAGAATATAATAAAATTGTTAATAGAAGAAAAATGTGTCAATTTTGATTAAATTAAATTTTAGCCAATTAATTGTTGAAGACAGAATCGTTGTTTTATTCGGAAATCAAATTTGTTACTCGATCGTCATTCATTGCTGGTATTTTGAGGTAAAGTAAATCTTTGTCCGACTCTGCGGTTGGTTTGTTAAAAATCCGATTTGGTATAATAACGCCTGATGGCCAAATCTTTAATTTAATAAAGGTCATTCTTCTCAACGCAAACTCTGAATGATGTTGATTTGTTGTTCTCACCTATTTTTTTCCTTCGTTTTGATCTTTCTTGAAAACTGGGTTGCATGACGGTACATTAATATTGTTAGATTTTAATTCTTCAATTACATCATCTTTTGCACACTCAACAACATTGCGGAGATAAAGGTAAAATTTTTATATTTTGTTAGCTTTTAATTTAATATGTTCAGATTTTTTTCAACTGTTTTATGATGTAATTTTTCAGTTTAAGGTGGTATGTTCAGTGATATCGCTATTATTTAAACGTGGTCTTATTTTTGTTTCGGCTAACCGGTGTTCATTATTCTCAACAGGTGAGTTTACGGCTGAGATTTACAATTTTCCTTGCTAACACGCACAGCATACGATCGGGAACTGTATGTGCTATCGTACAAGTTTCATTTAACTTGTTTAATTTCAGTTTAAGCGCTTCTATTTCTTTGTCGTTAATGTTGCAGACCTGAGATCGAGATAAAAACTTATAGTTAGAAATTGTTAAGCATGCACTGAGAAATGAACTGCTTGTTAATCAATTAGAGAATGTGAAGTAATTAAAATGGTCGTAAATTCATTTATGGATGTGACACTGCGATATGACACATTTACAAGCAGATCCGTAGCTATATACACAACCCGGAAGCAAGATTAGAGACAGAGAGAGGAGAACAACGAAGATGAAGACGGAACACAGTTGACGTAGAAGTCGTCAATGTGATTTAAGTAGTTATTTGGATTAATTTATTGTTTCTATTACTGCTGGTATTAAATAAACGTTCAACTTAGTTTGCGTTTAAGGTAATTGTGTTCTTCTATCAGGAATCTTGAATCTACGGATAAACGAGCTCTTGACTATCGTTGGAAACTACAACACGGTGTTGGAGATATAGCGAGTGTCGAAGCTATAACATCGGTTTTGGTGGTTACGAGGTCGAAAAAGTTACAACTCTGGTGTTAGAAATGGGATCTTAGGAGATAACACACTGGTGACAGAAGTAAGATTTTGAAAACTGGAAACTCACTGCAGTGAAGAACGCCAGGGCTAAGAGAACTCAATATAACTAGTCTGATGAAAGAAGCTTAACTATTGACGATTGGTTGTATTTCGTAATTTACCTGACGATTAGTTATTGTGCTGTGTTCTAACGATTTTAACGATTGAATAAATGAGTGATTGATCACAGCAATACACACAAGTGATTGCCAACACTGTTTTCTTTCTGATAAAGTTCATCTGAAATAAGTCTGTTCAAGAGTCAAGAATCCACATAGAGAAAAATAACCGTACCCTTACAAGTTCAAGGGGCCGGCTATAACATTATTTTCAATAGAGTTCATTGTTTCTAACTGTTGTATATTTATCATTTCTATTATTTCTTTTTTCATGAAATAAAATTTATTTTAATCCAATTTTCAATTGGAACTTTTCCAAGCAACCACTCACGTCAATTTCTATATATTGAATTGAATTGAAAAATAATTTATTTGGCCGAAAGCACAGGAGATCAAGATACATATTTGTATGTGCAGACCACCTTAACTAAAATATGTGCGATGAAAACATAAATCAAACAAAATATAAGGACTGATAAATAATAAAAAAGCAAACAAATTCCAAAATAAAACAGAAAATATTAATAGGTAACCAGACAGGGGAAATGGTTTCAATGGTTATTAAAATGACCTGACAAAATGAGTCTATAAATTGATGCTTTGAATATGCTATAGGAAGGTGAGTTTTTCACATTTTCAGGTAACGTATCCCAAAGACGCATTGAAAATGATAAAGCTGAATAAAGAAAAAAGTTCGACCTAGGCGTGGAAAGGTAAAAATCTGGATTTTTACGGAAACGATCACATCTAGTATTTTTAAATGAAACAAGTACATTGAAAAGCAATTTACAATAGTTCAACCTATAAATTTTAAAAAATAAAAGTAATAAATAACATATATATAATTGCTTTATATTATAAATATTCGCTAGACTGTAAAAAGAAGTAATATGGTCAAATTTACGTACATTAAATAAAATACGTAGAAAAAAATTCTGAGATAATGTTAAAATATGAAGATTTGATTTAGGAGCTGAACCCCAAACAGAAATACAATAAATAATATATGGTAATACGAGAGAGTTGTATAATGTGAATAAGATAAACCTAGGAAATTTAGTACTCAAACGATTAATTAGGCCCAAATTTTTAGTTAACTTGCTTGAAATGTGTTTGATATGAGTCAACCATGACAAATTAGATGAAATAAAGACACCTAAAAATTTAACTTATATATAATATATATATATATATAAATATGCTAATATGTTATATATATATATATACAGTTTTCAAGAAAATCAACCGCGTTAATACAATTATTATGTTTATACATTAATTTTTAGTCGACTGAAAAAAAACTTGAAAAATTAATGTATAAATATAATAATTGTATTAACGCGGTTGATTTTCTTGAAAATTGTATCGAATATGGTCTAAATCCTGATATATATAAATATATATATATATATATTGATATATGCTAAAATGGGACAATGCTGATGACAACTACAAACTTAAACGCACAAGTAGAGAAATAATTTTAAAAGCAAGATTCTTACGAAGAAATTCATCGATGCTGCAGCAACTTTAAAAAGTACTAGTAACATTATTAACTGAAAAGCAGACAATACCCCAATGTATGTCATTATGGATAGAGATGATTATAATGACAAACTGAATGGCATTCTCGGTGACACTGACAAATTTATTAAGAATAATAGTGATTCAAATGCTAAGCTTGAGACAAAGTTGAATCAGATCATCAGAACAATCAATGACAAAACAGAGGGGAAAATACCCATACTTACGGGCGAATATGAACCAGGATATGCTTAAGGTCCAGTCAAGACACATAAGGCTAACAACTGTCTACGACCAATAATTAGCCAAGGACCTGCGATCACTTACCCTTTTGCAAAATGCTCAATAAAATAACTACACCCTACACTCCTAACAGCTATAACTTAAAATCAAGTAGGGAATTCATAGATTTATTGTCTACAACAAAACCATTAACACAAAAATAGCTTCTTTGGATGTAGAATCACTCTTTACAAATGTCCCTGTAGAGGACACAATCAGCATAATAATAGATAAAATATACAATTCCAGTCATTCATCAATAACAATTCCAAAAGATGAATTAAATGCGCTGCTAAAAATATGTACACCCGAAGCGCCTTTCATTGGCCATTCATCAGCAAATATTATTGTTTTTATGTTATTCACTCTATTGACATTCCTCAGATGATAGTACTGTGATAAAATGCTTTGTTGAACAAATAACTTTTTAACTCTCTTCTGAAATCTTTTTCTGTAACAACTTGCTTCAATCAAGCTGGAAGATCATTCCATATAATTTTTGGAAAATGTCGGAAGGAATAATTGTCGAGGTTAAAAGCGATAAAAAATACGTAATTGATACGTCATTGTGTTATATTTGGTACGTTCAAAGCCAGATAAATGAAAAGGAAATGAAAACTTCTCTTTGAGAATTTTTTGAAGTTGACGACGTAAAAAAAAGTGCAAAGTTTTTGCAGCATGAAGCCTGCCGGAGTTTTCCGAAGACGTTGACAAGAATATTATGTGGGACGAATTTCTTAGTATATGTCGGTCAATTTTTGAAACTAAAGTCGAAGACAAATTTCCCTGTTTTCTCGCTGACGACTTGTGGAAAGTTACTAATTGTGACATTAAATTCGAGAAATTGTCAGCAAAACAGGTGAGGTTGCAAAAAAGTGTTATTCAAAATGGTCCGGCCGTTCTGGAATTTCTTGAAGAGCATGGCAATATACTGAGCGATGTCCAAAAAAAGGTGAACAGTATCGTGTGCAGTGATGTATGCGCTGATGGAGATTCAGATGCTGAGACATCAGTCGCTAAAAATTTGTCTGACATTGCTGAAGAAGGTAACAATGATGGTGGAAATTTCATGACAGTCAGACACAAGAAAAGAAGAAACATTTTACTATCAACTAATACAAGTCCATGTTGTCATGCAATATCAAAGACCACTGTTGAACCTCATAGGCCTACGCACTATAAAATATTAATGTTAAAGTTTTGTCTTGCTACCCTGTGTTCAAGAGGAAAGATGAAAAATTAAAACTTGATGAAACCCACTCTTCTACGTCATTCCGGTTGTGTGTAGATGAGAATAGTTGAAATATCAAGTTCTTGGCCTGATTATGTTCAGGTTATGAATTGGGTTTTCAATAACAACAGCAAAAGTGGCAGCACCAGAAATGTCGATGTCAATGTCAGGACATGTTCTGATGTGAAACGATGATATGGAACTAGTGTCATGTTTTATTTGCAAACTTTAAATTTATGATTTGTTAAATTGTCTTAATTTTTTTCATTTACCCGCTATTTTTATATTATACAAGTATACATTGTATATTCGTTTAATGTACATTGTGGATAAACTGTTGACTTTTGACAATCATTTCTTTAATTTATTGTTACTGGATTTTGAGAGTGCCAGTGAAATTTCATTTAATAGGCGCTATACAAATGCATTTAATATATATATATATATATATATTTATTTATTTATTTTTATTTTATTTATTTATTTAGAAACATTTGTATAGCGCAAATTAATAATTTCAAAAGCGCTATCAAAAATAAAATAACAAAATAACTGTGCATGATTGATATAAATCAAAATATTCAAATTCATTGTTTTTCCACAGAAAATAAGTATGTTTTTAATTCCCCTTTAAATGTCACAAAGTTAATTCCAGATCTTCTTAATGAAACTGGTAGGTCATTCCAGACTGTCGGACCTGCGACCGCAATATCTCTCGCACCTATTCGTAGATGCCTAGCTGGGACCGCCAAAAGATTCATATTATCTGATCTTAGATAAAAACAAGTTGTAGATGCCTTCATGGAAAATTTATCTGAGATGTAAGCCGGTGACATTCCATTCAAGGATTTAAACACAATCACTGCAATTTTAAAAATTATTCTTTTCTTAATTTTTAACCAGTTAAGCTCATTCAATATTGGAGTTACATGGTCAAATTTCAATTTGCCAGTTACAAGTTTTGCAGCCCTGTTCTGAACTGACTGAAGAATGTCAATTGATCTATTAGGCAAACCGTAAAACAAACTGTTGCAGTAGTCCAGTCGTGATGTTATGAACGCATGGACCAGATCCTCCAGAGTTGATCTATCCAGCAAATGTCTGACTCGATATAAATTTCTAAGATGAGCAATGGCTGAGACTGAAATCATCCTGATATTTAGTGGTGTTGGATGTTTAAGTCCTAGACAAGATTTCAGTATACTCCAGGTACGTCTACGTTAGATTTACATTTAATGATTTGGTTATTATAATAAATATTTTCAGATAGTTTACATAACCTTGAAAACATATTTTTATAATTACCATAAACTAATTTATCAAATACAGACTTGGAATTTAAGAATGTTTTATATAATTTGTTTTTAGTTATATAGGATATAACCAGACCCTTAGTAATCCAGAGTTTTCTCTTGTTAGTTTTTTACGGTATTCTTTACAGTTAATAATAATTGCATTTTTAATAACATCTGAAAATAATTTAAAAGCCAAATCCGTATCACAACAATTCAGGATACTACTCATTGAAATTAATGGAATAAAACCGAAGGAATTGAGTAGATTAAGAAATTGAGTATAGTTGTCTATAGTCATCACCGAGTAAATTTATGTTAAAGTCTCCATTAATGTAGACATTTTTAAATGCACCGGATTTAATATTCATAAATAGTTAAAGTTAAATCATTTAAAAGTTAAAAACAAAATAATATCAGTACTCGGAGGACGGTATCAGACAATAATCAAAAACTTAGTGTTATTGTTTACAAATACTTCAACTAGCATCGATTCAAAAGTATATGAATGGTATTGCAAATCATCACGAGTCACATACTTTAACCCATTTTTAACAAACCAACACCCCCACCAACATTACCAACATGATTCTGCATACAAAATTATATCCAGGCAAGCTAACCAAATCAGCCGTAACAGAAGTTAACCATGTTTCGGTAACAGCCATCAAATCTACAACCACATGAATTAATAAGTATATTAAATTCAGTAAACTTATTAAGTATACTGCGACAGTTAACATGAAAAATACTAAAATTACATGTATCAACAAACGTGCTTACATTCTCAGGTAAAATTGAATAACAGTCAAGAGAAATACCATTGAAAACATTAATATCAGGATCAACGTCCTCAAGTTGACGGAGTTTGCTATTGGAAGAAACGTTTGCTATTGGAAGAAATTCATCTCTGAAACGTTGATGATGTTGGATGACCTCAACGCATTGTCCATTACAGTGTTCACAAAGAAAACCATGTCTGGATATAAATCACTATGTGCCACCATCGTAGGTAGATGTTTTTTCATGATTATCTCTATTCACTGTCGACAGTTCTTTGTTGATGTTTTTGTTGTTGGATGACTCCATGGTGTGGTCTTTGATTTGATTGGGATGTTTGTTGAATATCCAATCTCTGATGATAACACCTGAAGGCCAGATATTAGGATCTCATATTTTCACAAGATCTTGCTTATCAATACATATTCTAAATGCATTTGCCAGGACATTGTCTTTCAATTCAAAATTATCACCTGGTTTCTTTTTTTGTATAGAATAACAAGAGATAACATTAATGTGATTAGCTTTTAGCTCATCTATCACATCAGCACTCGTGCAATCAAAAATTACCAAAATATATCACCGGAAACTCGGTTGCCTTAAGTTTTACAGATTCAGTCTTGTTACCGACAACTTTGTGGAATTTTTTAGGTACAATGAGTCTGTGGCTGTCTTGCTGGTTGTGAACTTCAACTCCAAGCACATCTTCATTGACATCTTTGATTTCATGAGTCAACGTTCGCTGCAGTTTATTTTTACGTTGTACCAATGAAAACCCATCTCCGGCTAGAGATTTGGCCAAATCTGAAAAAAGAGGTTGGGAGTTTTTAGGCAATAGCTGTTGTTGTGGAAATGGTTGCTGCAAAAATTTACCACTAATGTCAATTTTTGCTGAAAGTTTGTCAACACAGCTGGTTGGAATCAATTTTTTTCTCTGTAGCCGGAAGTTGGTCATTACGTAAAGCTGCATCAGATGGCTTGACAGCAAGTAAAAGTTTTTCAACAGAATTCACCAAATGAAGAATTTTATTTTCAAAAAAATTAAACTTATTTTCAATGATGTTCATTATGTTATTCAACACCTGCTGGCCATCGTTACTTGTTTCAGTGATATCAGGAAAATTAAAGCTACCTGCTAGGAATAGTGGCAGCTTTTCATTATATTTTTATCTTTTGCTAGCTTCAACAAGATGAAAATTTTTTCGAGGTCAATTTTAGGATTTAGTTTGGAACCTGGTTGTTTAGTACTCTTTTTTTCCCTTGACTTCAGAAACTTTACTGAATTTCCCAAAATGAGTTTTTTGGTTTCATTAATGAAATTTACAAAATAGTAGCAGGAACATTTTTCAAATAATAAATTATTGTCAACATTATCAATTTTATTTATTAAAAAAAAATTAAGTCGTTAATCACTATTGTTCTGTCGGCATAATCTAACATCGTGTTAGACGCCATACCAAATAACTCATAACATACAGCGTTAACAACTGTATGCTATATTAAACACTCCCAGCAACTTATGACAAACTTGTCAGCACAACTATTTTTCAATATAATTAAAAACCGAAATAACTAATTAATTTAATTAAAAATTAAATATCAATTTATTCGATAATTTAAAAATAACATAACACTCCTCTTAGTTTAAGCTATAAAATGTATCCAAAATTAACAATATATTACCAAACAATATATTATAAAGCACAAAAAAACGGAGAAATTGAAAAACGGCCATTCCAAAGAAAGCAATAAAAGATATATATATTAACTGAATCTAATAATTAATAATAATAAATTGAATTAATTTAGCACTCCACAATTTTGACGCTGTTTTTGCCGCCTTGACAACTATCGTTTAAAAAATATATTTATATTGTGAACTTTTGCTGCGCGTCGAAAGTATTCCCTCTCTTATTTATAAACTAACGGTTGATATATATATATATATATATATATATATATATATATATATATATATTAATATATATATATATATTATTATTATTAATTATTAATGAAACATTTATAAGCGCTAATTAAAATCAAAAAGTTCTCAAAAGCGCTATCTATAATCAAACAAAGTCAAAAAAGAAAAAAGTACAGTCAATGGCGGTAGTAACAAACAAATAATTATTCACTTAACAACAAAATCAAAGCGAAAATAAGTAAGTTTTAAGTTTCTTTTTAAAATCATCAAGTTTCAAATCTTTAATTCTAAAAGATCTCGGTAAGCTGTTCCAAACCATTGGTCCAGATACTGCAAAATCTTTTGATGCTATCTGCAGATTGACATCAGGTACAACCAGAAAAATGCCATCATCTGATCTAAGGTTCATACCACTCATCATTATAGACTTTTCTTTTATTTTATCTATCAAATAACTTGGAAACAAGCCATGCACAATTTTATACATTAAAATACATATTTTATATTTAATTATTTTCTTTATAGTAAGCCAATGAAGGCTCTTAAGAATTGGAGTAACATGGTTAAATTTGAGACCTCCAACAATCAATTTGGCTGCTCTATTCTGAATAGATTGAATTGCAGAAATAGACCTATCTGGCAAACCGTAAAACAGACCATTGCAATAGTCCAATCGTGAATGAACCAATGCATGCACCAAGGTATGAATAGCAGATTTATCTAATGACTTACGGATTTTATAGAGTTCTTGAATCTGTCCGGAGCAAGAATTTGTTATCATCTTTATATGATCATGCATCGATAATCTAGAATCAAGAATGAAACCCAGATTAGTTGCTTTGTTACTAAATTCTATTTTAACATCTCCTATTTTCACTGAATCGCTATTAAGTTTTATCAGCTGCTGCCATGTACCTATTGGAACAAATTTTGACTTTTGCTGATTTAATCTAAGACCATTGTTTGACATCCAATTATCTATGTTATGTAGGCAGGTTACAAATTTGTTGATTTCAAATTGCAGTAATTCTGGCTTATTACTAACTATAATCTGAATATCATCAGTATAGGCATGATATTTAAAACCGAAATTACCAATTACTTTAAAAACTTCAGCGGTATACATGATAAAAAGAATAGGCCCAAGCACTGAACCTTGTGGCACTCCTGATGTCAAAACCGTTTCATTAGATAACACATTATTGATGACTACTTGTTGCTTTCTGTCAAACCGATATGATCTGAACCACTTGATAACAGTACCAGAAATACCATAATCATGAACCAATTTTTCCAAGAGAATCTGATGGTCTACACAATCAAATGCCGCACTCATATCTAAAAACGCGACTAGAGCCACATGTTGTTTGTCCAAAGCAGCAAACAACTCAGAAAACACATAAAGCAGTGCAGTTTCCGTTGAATGATAGCGGCGATATCCAGACTGGTGAACTGGTAGCAGGTTGTTTACATTCAAATGATTCAAGAGCTGTTTGGCAACCACTCGTTCAAATATCTTGGAAATGAAACATATGTTGGAAATTGGTCTATAACTAGACAAATCATTTCGATCCATATTCACTTTTTTTAATACTGGATAAACCATAGCATGCTTACAACCATTAGGAAATGTGCCACTGCTCAGACTCAGATTTAAGATGCTGGTAAGAAAAACGATGAATAAATCAATATATTTCTTTAAAATATGGGTCGGAAAGACATTTATCATACATGTTTTTGATGGCAAACTGAGTACAATTTTTTAACGTCAGATTCTGTTAAAAGCATAAAGTCAGGAAAAGAACAATTCCCATTGTACTGAGTTTGACAAATAGTCGGACAATTACTCACATTGGTAAACTGTTTAATTTTATTTACTTTATCATTAAAAAACTTTAAGAATTGAGACGAATCTAAACCAACAATTTCACTCAATGACTGACCAGTGACCTGATTACAAAGGACTTTATTAATAACATTCCATAGATTTTTAGAAGATCCACTATTGTCTGCTACAAGTCTTTTCCAATAACTGTTTCTTTTTTGTGAAAAAAGCCTAGATTTATTTTTCAGAGCTGCTATCCACTCATTTTTACATTTCTCTGGCTGATATTTTCTGTAATTCCTTTCTTTCTTTCGACATAGTCTTTTGAAAGATCTACATTCACCATCATACCACGGAGCATTAACATCACATCTGACTTCTACAAAACGAAGTGGAGCAACTGCATCAGCCAATTTCTTGAGTTCAGAACTCATCATATCAAACTCAATATTAATATTATTGCTTTGGCAAGACCTTGATAATGGAGAAGTCTGTATATATTTAATGAGATTGCTTTCATTTAGGTATTTCCAGGATCTAAACTTGTTTTTTGACTATTTTAAGACGCTTATGAGTTAATGGTATGTTAACCTGAATTAAACTATGGTCTGAAAAAGTCCCACTGGGAAAAATCTTAATATCTGAAATCTGAAAATTTTGAGAACAAATAATCAGATCAAGAATACCTCCATGTTCATGAGTCGGTTCGTCGATCAAATTTTTTAATTGAAACATTTCTAATATTTCCAATAAATTTACAGTATGACGACTTCCTGTTTCTCAAGGTGAATGTTGAAATCGCCCAAAAGTATGATATTTAAACTAAAAGAAGTGATATTTTCTAGTAAACATAAAAATTCTACTTAAATTACTAACTAAAACTGATCCTGGCCTGTAGAGGGCTAATAGAACAAAATCTTTGTTGCTAATAAATAATTTAACAGCAAGTGCTTCAAATGAACTAAATATTGGCAGATCTATTTTCTTAAACTTAAATTCATTACTGAAGTAAATAATTAAACCCCCATGGTGAGGATCATTTATTCTTAAAAAATCAACATAACTATATCCTGGTGGCATTGATGATTTAACAGAAATGTTATTCGAAGATCCGTGCCAAGTTTCGACTAAAACGAAAATATCTAGCCCATCATGAATCAAATCATAGATCGTATCAGTTTTAGAAATCAATGATCTAATGTTCAATAAACCTAGTGTTAAATTACGATTTATTATGTTGCAGTCTTTATCATTGTTATCATTTATTTCTAAATTCTTGACATATTTTATATCAACACTGGTTTTTTCTGTATTTTTACAATCTTCCATCTCCCTACCGTCCTCTCACTCTGAACAAAAAATTTGATTGTTTTCTTCTCGCTCCATAACTTTAGCTTTTCAAAAAATGATTTATTCCTGCCTCTGATCCTTTGTTAAATCATAGTTCAGTCCAACATGTGAAAATTCTTTTAACGACTTGAATTTATATACATTTCTCATTATTGAGTCTCTGAGTAAAACGCAATCTAACTTTATCAAAATGGGTCTAACGACAGTTTCGCATTTCCTTCCCAGTCTCATTATTTTGATTACATTTTTTTACTTTTAACGACTTGAATTTATATACATTTCTCATTATTGAGTCTCTGAGTAAAACGCAATCTAACTTTATCAAAATGGGTCTAACGACAGTTTCGCATTTCCTTCCCAGTCTCATTATTTTGATTACATTTTTTTCAGAAACATCTCCTGTCAAATGCTTTAAAATTTTTAAAACATTGGAACGATCATCATCACTTTCAGCTAAACGAAACATCAATAAATTTGTTTCTCTTTCATTAACGTCACTAGCTTCTTGTAAAGTTTTCTGGATTGATTTGACATCACTTCAACATTCAATTTAACTTCCTTGCTGACAATGCTAGAAAATGTTTCTTTTATTTCGTTTTTAAAAATTTTAATTTCCTCACGTAAAACAGTATCGAAACGATCAAGTTCATCAAGTTTAGATTGGTTATGGTCAACAACCATTTTTATGCTATCAACGTCAAGTTTTATTTTTCTGTTACTATCATTTATTTCATTTAGTTTAGCAACAAATTCATTTTTAGACGCATCCATTGACTTAGCCAAAGAACTAACATTTTGAGACAAATCAACACAGCGTTGACAAAACCATTTTAAACCTTTAACACTTTTCAAA